GCGACCCGTCCCCCGTCTGCAGAGCGCTGTGTTCCCGTGAGCCGGTGTCGGACACTGCTCCTGTGGCCTTGGGGCTGGTGCAGGCTGGTGACAGGGGATGGCAACCGTGTTTTAGGAGAGGAGGAGGAAGAGGGTGCAGGTTTGTCGGTCAGTGTGGATTCTGCCAAGAGAGGGAGGCGCACAGTGATTTCTGGTGGCTTGCCCCCCACCGCCCCTCTTCAAGCGCTGCTGCCATCAAAGATGAGATATCTGTCCCACATCCTGCGCCCAGTGCAGCCCCACACACCGGCCTGACCCCAGGTTAGACATTACAGCCCAGAGCTCAGATCTCCTCCGTGCCTCCCTGGAGCCCTGCTGCCTTCCCAGGGGCTCTCCCCAGACCCACAGCCCTCACCCTTGCCAGCCGTAGGCTAGCAGGGCCGGGGAAACACCACTCACCTCTCACTGTGTGTTGTCCAGCTCTTTTCCCTTCTTATGCAACTTCGACTGGAGGTTAAATGAGAGAAAACAATGATTCTTTTACAGACGTGCCCCTTTCTAATGTCAGGGGAAAATGTGGTTGAACAGCAATTTCTAACCCTCAATGCATAAGCACGTTTTCAGATGAATTTGAGGGGAGCTGTTTTCATGTGCTATGAAAGGCCACAGTCACGGAGATGTTCTCAGAAAGCAGAAAAAGGGACATTTTCCAATTTGCTAAAGCACTGGTCTGCTTCCTTTAAAGCAATGCAAGTGTTACCAGATATTGGAATATCTGGGGATAAAGGGAGGGAATAAAGCTATCAGCAGCGAGTCACGCAGAAGATCTCTAATTTCGGAGAGGAGATTCATGGATCCCAGTCCCTGACAGTCCCAAGGGCTCAGGATTCCCACTAGTTCGGGAAGGCGCCTGGTTGCTTCACAATATAAATGTTTGTGTTACAGCGTCATTACTCATGCACACATCCACACTCACACACCCGCAAGAGCCTCCGCAGGGGAGGGACTTGCTTTTACTTACAGGTTCCTGTTCCGCATATTTGAATTTCTTTTGCTTGTAATAGTCACGTCCTTGGAGAAAATGCAGCAGGAGCAGGTCACAGAGGACAGAGGCCTTAAATCAAAGTGCAGTTAGGGTTGGGGGCTGCCCTCTCAGCTCACTTGTGCCAGCTTGCCCCGCAAATTAGGGGCACTTCTGCTTCAACCCACAACGTGGCAGCTGCCAAAGAAGGTACAGCCCCTGAATGTCCATTTAGGACAGAAGTGAAGTGTGCTGGGTTCAATACTGGGCAACAGGAGTCAACACAAGTTAAGGGTTTCCACTTTAGGTATATGCGGAGCGCAACACCCTTCAGGTCATGCCAGAGTCTTTAATGACCATAACCAAACAGGATGCTGGTTTTCTGTTGTGCATGAAATACTGCCCATCACCTCCAAACGCCCCTCAATACCAGCTCTAACTTGAAACTATCAAGATGCCAAGACACGGTCCTGCCCCAAAAGCCTGCCTTCCCCTCACTCGGCAGGGCAGCGGCTCCCGCTAGCAGAATTCACATAGCCAGCGGTCCACAGGAATCT